TGGCTCTGTTTTGGTTCCAGTACCATGTTGATTTTACTATAGTTTCTTTGTAGTATAACTTCAAGTCAGGGATTATGATGTCTCCTGCATTGCCTTTGCTGCTTAGAACTTTCCTTGCTATTCTAGGTCTCTTCTCGCTCCAGATGAATTTTAGGAGTGACTTCTCTAGATCTGTGAGGTATGTTGATGATATTTTTTATCAGGATTGCATTGAATCTGTATAACAGTTTTGGGAGCATGGCCATTTTCACAATGCTTTCTATCCATGAGCAAGGGATGTCTTTCCATTTTCTGAGATCATCTTCAATTTCATTTTTCAGTGTACTATAATTTTCCCTGTATAGGTCTTTCACTTCTTTCATGAGAGTAATTCCTAAATATTTCATTTTTTTGTTGTTGCTAGTGTGAAGGGTGGGGATTCTCTTATTTCTCTCTCTGAGATTTTCTTGTTAGTGTGTAGGAATGCTATTGATTTTTGAGTATTGATTTTGTATCCAGCCACATTGCTGAATTTATTTATTATATGCAGGAGTTTTTCAATGGAGTTTTGGGGGTCTTCTATGTAGAGTATCATGTCATCTGCAAATAATAATAATGTAACTTCTTCTTTTCCTATCTTTACACCTTTTTTTTCTCTCTCTTACCTAATTGCTCTGGCTAGTATTTCCAATACTGTAATAAATAGGAGTGGTGGTAAGGGACATCATTGTCTTGTGCCTGCTTTTAAATTAAAGGCCTTCAATTTTTGGCCATTTAGTATGATACTGGCTCTTGGTTTGCCATAGATGGCCTTTATTATATTGAGGTAAAGACCATCTATTCCAATTTTCTGCAAAGTTCTTATCATAAATGAATGTTGAGCCTTATCAAAAGCTTTTTCTGCATCTATAGAAATGATCATGTGATTCTTACTTTTGGCTTTATTGATATGGTGGATTACATTTATTGATTTACGTATGTTGAACCATCTCTGCATGCCTGGGATGAATCCCACTTGGTCATGGTGTATGATCTCCTTGATGATTTGCTGCATCCTATTTGCCAATATTTTATTGAGGATTTTTGTAGCTGTGTTCATTGGGGAGATTGGTCTGTGGTTCTCTTTTTCAGTTGGGTCCTTCTCAAGTTTTTGTACTAGAGTAATATTTGCTTCAAGGAACAATTAAGGAAGGATTGCTTCCCTTTCATTTTATTGAAGAGTTTGAGGATTGTTCACATTAAGTCTTCTTTGTATTTCTTGTAGAACTCTGCAGTGAATCCGTCTGGGCCTGCGTTTTTCTTTGTAGGCAAGAACTTATTTATGTTTTCAATTTCGTTAATAGAAATTGGGTTATTCAGCAGATTTACATCTTCTTGACCTAGCTTTGGTACTGCATATGCTTCTAGAAATCTGTCTATTTCCTCTGTGTTATCAAACCTTTGAGAGTAGAGATTTTCGAAATAGGTGCTGATGATCTTCTGTATTTCTACAGGGTCTGTAGTGATTTCACCTTTTTCATTCCTTATTGCATGAATTTGAGCTTTTTCTACCCTTTTTAAAAATAAGATCGGCTAGGGGCTTATCTATTTTATTTATTCTTTCAAAGAACCAACTCTTTGATTCATTGATTTTTTGGATTTTTTTAGTCTCTATTGCATTGATTTCTGCTCTGATTTTTATAATTTCCTCTCTTCTTTTGGCTTTGGGCTTGACTTGCTCTTCTTTATCTAGATGTTTGAGGTGTAACATCAGGTTATTTATTTGTATTCGTTCTGTTTTCCTGATGTGGGAACTCTGCAATAAATTTTCCTCTGAGGACAGCTTTCATTGCATCCCACAGACTCTGGTAAGCTGTATTTGTGCTTTCCTTTGTTTGTAGGTATTGTTTAATTTCCTCTGTGACCCACTAATTACTCAAGAGTGTGTTATTCAATTTCCAAGTGTTTGTGGGATTTTTGCAGTATCTTTTTCATTAATTTCTAATTACACAGTGCTATCTTCTGATAGCATGCAAGGGATAATTTCTATCCTTTTGCATTTATTTAAATACGTTCTGTGAGTTAGTATATGATCTATTTAGAGAATGACCCATGTACTGCTGAGAAGAATGTTTATTCTGTTGTTGGGTGGAATACTCTGTATATGTCTATCAAGCCCATTTGTGAACACAGGTGTGATTCAGTTCTTTTATTTCTTTGCTAATTGTCTGTGTGATCTGTCCACTGGTGTCAATGGTGTGTTAAAATCTCCTGTTAGAATTGTGTTGCCGTTAATTTGGTTTTTCATTTCTGTTAATACTTGTTTTACATAGCTGGGTGCTCTGGAATTTGGTGCATATATATTTAAGATAGTTATCTCTTCCTCTTGAAGTTTTCCCCTAACCAGTATGTAGTGACCTTCTTTAATCCTTCTGGTCATTATTGGTTTGAAGTTTGCATTGTCTGCAAACAGAATAGCTATTGCCACTTTTGAGGGGGTTCATGTTGCATGAAGTATCCTTTTCCATCCTTTTGACTTTTAGTCTGTGAGTATCATTTTAGGTTAGATGGGTTTTTGTAGACAGCATATGGTTGAATTTTGTTTCTTGATCCATTCTGCCAGTCTGTTTATTTTAATTGGTGCATTGAGATGATTTAGATTAACAGTTATAACTGTTATATATATATATTGGTTTAGTGTTGACATGTTATCTTTCTGCTGTTTCATCTTTATCTCTCTGTTCTGTTTAATTGTCTGCTTTGTTTGTGTTTGTTCGTTTAGTGGTTTTTTCCAAAATGTATCTAGGCTATATTTCATATTCTTTGCTGGGTTGGCTTGATGATCATGAAGTTCTTCAGCTGTTCTTTGTCATGGAAGTATCTTATTTCCCCACTGATTTTGAAGGACAGTTTTCAGAGTACATAAATCTAGGTTGGAAATCATTTTCTTTTAGGACCTAAAGTATTTCACTCCATGCTCTTCTTGATTTTATTGTTTGTGCTGAGAAGACTGCTTTCATTCTGTTAGGTTTTCCTTTATAGGTGATGTGTCTTTTTTCTCTGACAGCTTTTAATATTATATTCTTTTGTTCAATTTCTGGAATGGCAATTATTATATGTCTGGGTGTAGTTTTATTTTGGTTATTGCTATTTGGGGTTCTATATGCTTCATTGATCTTGATATCAGTTTCCAATCTCATGTTTGGGAAATTTTCAGCTATTAGTTCTCTAAATATCCTCTTGACATCCTTTATGTTGTCCCTTTCTTTTTCATTTATCACTAACAACCTTATGTTTTTCTCTTTGCATCATCTTGCAGGTGTTGAATTGTTATTTCCTGATTTCTTGTTATTTTTAAAAGAACTTTCCTTCCCTGTTCACTGGCTGCAATCTTGTCTTTGAGGTCTGAAATTCTATCTTCACATTCATTGAGGCAGTTTTTATAACTTTCAATGGAATTTTTGATTTCCTGTATATCTCTTTGCATCTGCTTTATATATTCTGTTTGTTTCTTATATTGTTCATCCAGGGATTCTATCTTTTTGTTTAGTTCCTCCAATTTTTTAACTGTGTCTTCTTTAGATATGTCCAGCATCTCCTTCATTTCTTTTATCATTTCTTCTTTTACCTGAGAGATTATTTCTAGTTTTAATTCTTTTAAGGCTTCTCAGTTGCTTCTTTATTTCAGTTACTATTATTTCAGGTATTTAAGGTATGTGGCCTGTATTTTCTTCTATATACATGGCTCCTAGGCTTTCTTGGGATGAGCTGGATGTTTCAGATTGCATTTTGATCTTTTGTTTTGTCATTTTCCTATATTTTTAAGCTCCATGTGTTCCATTGTATCACCCTCATTTTGTGACATTAAATTACTCATGCTTAGAAAATCTTCAGATCATGTACATGGAAAAACGTTATTGTAACAAATGAGATCATAATGAGAAAAATAGAAAACAGAACAAAACACTTGTCAAAAGAATATAGAATTGATAGGATTATTTCCAGAAGATGAAAAATATTCCCAAAAGATGAGGAGTATAAATCAAAAGAGGCCTTTTTTCTGGGAACATGGAGAGAGAAGACTGGAACGATGGCTGCTGAAATCTGGCGATATCTCTCACGCAGACACGTGGGGTGGGGGAATATAAGTAGCCTAAGCTTAGGGCAGTGCCCTAAGGCCATTAGAGATGCACAGGTATTTCATTGGCACATATTTGGCACCAGGGGCAGATTCCAAAAGCTGGGGGGATATAGGGTTATGGGTAAGTCTCTAGGGGCGGGGGAGACAGGAGCTCGATAATTCCAGCTGAGGCTTTTTCTGGCTACAATGTCTGGTCTGGGTCATCAACACTTTCACATCTCATCTTATGATTATTATGAAAAGATTTCTCTCTTCATGTTCAACCTTTTGTAATTTTGCACGAATATCAGGAGCAGACTGTGAAATAAAATAAGAGTTAACAACAATCATCCCTTCATGAGAGTCTGTGTTTACATTGGTATATTTAATTAAGGTTTCCGAAGCCAATTTAGAAACACAACTGAGTTTTCATTAGCCTCCTGGATGTGTTCTAAAAACTTGTTATAATTAGTGTGTTTGTGAGTGATCTTCTTAAGGCCGACAATCAGACACTCAATCATCTTATGTAATTTTGTTGAACCTTGTCCATTTTGATAGTTTGAGTTAAGATCTTGATCTGGCACAGCTACAGGCCCCAGGTCATTGTCAGTGGTATTTGCCCTATGCCTGCAGTCAGCTTCTTCTCGAGCTGCTTGCCACAGCTCTCTTTGCGAGCTGAGGATGGAATTTAAAATCACATAAATATCTTTAAAATGTAAATCATAACAATTGGTGATAAATTCAAATTGCCTGATATAATTCTGTGGGTCAACAGAGAAGCTGCCTAATTTATGGGTAATCTGAGACAGATCAGAAAGAGAAAATGGCACACATATATTAACAAGTCCTTTGGGGCCAGCTTGCTCCTGAAGTGACAGCAGAGCCTGAGGAGAAGAATGTGGAGGAGAGTGCCATTGGGCAGCTATCCACCCGGTAGATGCATGTGAGTAATTATCTGAAGAGCAGCTATAGAACTAGAGTGGCTGCCGCTCATCCTGGGACGAGGAAACACAGGTAGATGGCATTGCACTGCATGCCTTGAAATGAGAGGATTGTTGTGGGCTGTCACCATGCGGACCACCACAAGGCGGCTGTTGCTGATCACAAGAGGAGCCACAAGGGGGGGCCCATTGACCACAAGACCAGAACAAACATGGCGGCACCCTGTCACCATGGTAACCAACCAAACATGGCGGTTCAGCACATGACCCTTCTGAGTATGGCGACGCCCCAACGCCATAGTAACTACCTGAACATGGCAGCACCTCGTTGCCATGGCAACTACCCAAACATGGCAGTGCTCCATCACCGCGGCAGCTGCCCGAACATGGCGAGCATGGCATTTACAGGGCAAGCTGGAAAAATCACGCTGCTCGCCGGAAGGGCACAATGAATGTGACCTAGTGTGGGGTGGAAGGGCACAATGAATGTGACCTAGTGTGGGGTAGGTGGGCGGCGAGAAGGTATCAGAGGGCAGAGCAGAGCTGCTGGGAGAGGCCTGTATCGTAGAAGGCAGAGGGAGAGAGGATCGCGCAGTGAGAGGTAATTTTGGTGCAGAGGGACCAGGAGCAGGGGGCAGACCTAGGTGGCAAGCGAGATAGGGATGAAGAATTAATTTGGGGGTATGGTGGAGCCCGAGGGTAAATTGGTGGAACATTATCAAGCATATCTTGGGGACAGGATGAAACAGGTTGGGTCACAGGAGAGCTAGCTAGTAGTATTTGAGTGGGACTACAGGACTTAATGAAAGACAGATGTGTTCTCAGAACCAAAAAACGCCTCTATGTATGGTAGCTCTTTCACTCTGTTACTGGCTCAACGGAAATCATGCAGCGTTTGTAGAAATGAAACATCAAATGTTCCTTCCCTGGGCCAACTCTCTCTGAGGAGTAGGTACGTAGGCCAAACTTTCTGGCAGTAAAAATTTAATAATTTAGTTTTTATGGTAGTTTTAATTTTTTAAAGTACGTAAACTGGAAATTAAGCATCAGAACGGCGTTTTTTGGGAGAGAGGAAGTAAATTTCCCATTGTTGATTTAGGCAAGTAAAACCCTGTGGCCCAAAGAATAAGCCATCACTGATTCTGTGGCGCCACATAGTGGGGCTAACGTTCCAAAACTCTTAAATTCTAGTCATCACTGAGAAATGTATGAGTGGAGTTTGCACAAGGTCAGTAGCAGCTTTGCCGGTGAAAGCGCAAGGCTTTTAAGGAAAGCAAGGTATTTTTCAGTGTGGGCGGTCCAAAAATCTCTGCTTTGGGCTATCAGAACCCAAAGAACATGAGAGATTTTAGTGTGGGCACAGGCTAGCCCAGAAAAAAAACCCTGCTCAGGGCAGTCCTAGGGATGTGAAAATGCTAGAGACTCACGCAAGTGGGGGAGACCAGTCCACTGGGGCCTGGGCCAGTGCCACGAGTCTTCTGGAGCATGCTCACCTTAAAACAATCTTGTTGGTGGTGCGTGGAAGTGGCCAGCAAGAGGTGAAATGTATCTCTGCAGAAGGAAAACACAGAATCAAGCCAGGATTGTGAATCAGCTGGGGACCCAACTGGGGGTGTGTGTCCCAAGAGTCAATTGCCTGCCGATCGAGTCACAGCACCAAGTGATAAGATTATTTCCAGAGGATGAAAAATATTCCTAAAAGATAAGGAGTATAAATCAAAAGAGGCCTTTTTTCTGGGAACACAGAGAGAGAGGACTGGAAATCTGGTGATCTCTCTCACGCAGACACGTGGGGTGGGGGAATATAAGTAGTCTAAGCTTAGGGCAGTGCCTTAAGGCCATTAGAGATGCACAGGTATTTCATTGGCACATATTTGGCTCCAGGGGCAGATTCCAAAGGGTGGGGGGGGATATAGGGTTACAGGTAAGTCTCTAAGGGCAGGAGAGATAGGAGCTCCCTAATTCCGGTGGAGGCTTTTTCTGGCTACAGTGTCCATTCTGGGTCAACAACCCTTTCAAGAATAAGATAGTAGACTGAGAAACAGAACAATGCTGATATTGCATTACATATAAGATTCCATTCAAAGTGCAAATATTGAATTTCTTTATCACTAAAATTTATTTGACAAGCATTTCTTGGACAAATTCTTAGAGGACTGTTTTACCTGCTGATTTTTCAGGGAATATATAAAAGGCCTTAGTATTGGGGCAACAGAGATACTGAGCACTGACATCCCTTGGTCAAAGTCATTGCTTCTTTTGCTGGAGTTCTTACATACATGAAAGTTCAGCTTCCACAAGAAACAGAGACAACAACCATGCAAGCAACAAGTAGAAAAGGCCTTTTACCTTAGCTCAGCAAAGGGGATTCTCAGAACTGCCTTAATTATGTATATATAGGGAAGTAACACTCATGTTAAGGTTCCCATGACAGTAAATACTGCCAGGAAAAATCTTAGGTACTCTAGGAAGGATATGACTATACAGGAGATCAACAGCATAGGAGAAGAGTCACAGGTGAGCTGATCAATGACCTTGGCCTCAGAAATCCAGCTCATAGAAGGCTGTGAAGCTAACTCTAAGTCTCTGAAGAAAGTTTCTCCACTCAAAAAAATAAATAAATAAATAAATAATCCCACACTACTTCTTTTTTTTTTTTTTTTTTATTTAAGAGGAAAAAGAGAAAAACACAAAACAAACCAAAGCGGCGTAAGGGTACACGCAATACAGAACTACAAAACAAAACAAAACAAAACAAAACAAAACAAAAAAACATAACAGTAAGAAATTACCTGCTAGTAGATTACACACTATCTTCTTGAAAATAGTTCCTCAAATCACAGTATCAAAGAACACAAAGTGGACATTCAAACAGGGAGACTGCAAACAGCTGTGTTCAATGTTCCAAAAACATTGATAAAGTCAGCTATTTAACACCCCCAAACACACTTGCTGTTATATCCGTTAGAGCTCTTTTTCTTTTTTTTTTTCCCTCTCTTTTTTACAACAAAATTTACACATCTTGGATTTTATTACTCCTTAGTGCTTATTACTTTCTTTGGGGGGGGGGAGAATACAGTCAAATATGGCAAAACAAAGCTGTCAGTCAATACCAAGGATAGACATAGCACATGGTGTAGAACAGAGTACAAGTTTATCAACAATGGTTATCAACGTTGTCCCTTGTTTCCTTAAAAAGAATTGTCTATTTTATTAGATATTATAAAGTTGGACAAAACAGTAGAGAACAAGACCAATAAAACTTAGGCATTGTAAACATTACAGGACTTCCAAAGAAGACAATAGTCAAACCAGAATGGGTATCTTAGTGAATCTTATTGTCTTCAAAGTAGTTGCCTATGTCTTCAAACTTTTCCACACTACTTCTTGATTTGGTACAGATTTGGAAATAGCTTTTCTAGAGATCTACTTATATTGAAATCTTTAGCCTTGGATAAACTTATTTACTCTTCTATTAAATACATTGTTTTTAGCTGTGTGGGCAAATTTGTTTTTAGGGGACCATATTTTTCATAAAATAAATATCACTTAGAAGACTTTTTTTTTCCTTTATCTAATCAACTATCAAAATGGTAGAAAAGCATTCAATTATCCAATGTACAGTGAGGATTATACAGTACTCTTTTGATTCTTACTTGAATGAAAACCAAAACCAAAATCAAAACTTTTACACACATGAAACTCTCAGAAGAATAATTTTAGGAGCAACATATCTCCTTCTCAACATTATTAAACCATATTGGTTGATTTTGCTCCATACCTTGTTTATCTGGAAGCCAGGTTAATATAATTAGAGTACCACCAATGATTGTCAAGAGAAAATATGGCAGAGAATAATGTAGATACTGGTAATCCTTTCATTGATATTATGTTATCTCACTGTAGTTCATGGCTCCAAAAGTTATTTAGAAATACTGTTACAGGCAGCTGAGCCAGTTAGAAATATGCTAGGCAGTCAGAGAGGGCTGGGTCCTCAAAGGAGCCAGTATAGAATAACAGATAACTTGCAACCTTGGAGGAGAAAAACATATCCCACTGTGGGCAGATTTCAAGAAAAAAGGCAAAGCAAATGCACCCATGTCCTAAGGACTGATAGTCTAAATACTCTTTTTCAACATGAGGAAGCCAGGAGTCATCATCTCAGCCCTATACCAAAAGTGTCACTGTTCTTTAAGCATATCCATTTGCTATGTGACTGGCTTCCCTATTTGTTCCTGATTTAATCAATTTTATCTGAGCAGTTAATCTTATGGTTGACCACAGCTCTGTACCGCCTTGTGCCCACCTTGCGAATTCCCATTTTTCCCATTTTGGACTCATCTTACGTGGTGGTTTTACTTTATAGAAGTCCCTAGAAAAGACAATGTCTTTGGCAACCCACTCAGCAGCAATTCTGTCTCCCTCTCAGACATAAGCTTTCTTTCTCTCAATAAATATATTGTGCTCTTAATCTTCAATGTTCCTAAAATTCATTCTTCTATTTTAGAGAACATGAACTCATACTGGGACATCTATTAGGCAGGGAGTTTCATTCCCCTTATCAATACCTATAATCATGAATATAAAGAAATAAAATAACATTAATTATAACAAATTTTAATGTTTATATTTTAGTACCTAGCCCAACATTTACTTAGATTTGTGATCTTGCTGATCAGACTCTGCATGCTGCATTGCCTAATCTTTACATTCATTTTCCTAATAGACCCTGATAGTAAGAATGTTAGGTCTGAGAAGAGGGAGAGGAAGAGGGGAAGGAAGGGAAAGAGGAGGGAAAGAGGTCCGTGGAAGGAGTGGAATGGATGGCAGTGAAAGGAGTGGGCAGCGGTGGCTGCAAAGATAAGAAATATAAAATATAAGCAACCTTTATTTTGGGAATGCGAGGAGAGACGCCCCCCCTCCGGCCCCGGGGTACAGCATCTCCACCCCGGGGCCGGTGGTCTCTCTCTAGAACACACTCTCTTCTCCTTATTCTTCTTCCTCTTCTTCTTCTTCTTCTTCTTCTTCTTCTTCGTCTTCGTCTTCGTCTTCGTCTTCATCTTCATCTTCGTCTTCTCTTCTTCAACACGTGGAGTGAGGCCCATAAGTAGCCTCTGTCTGGGGTGGACCCCAAGGGGCATTAAGGATGCACAGGTATTTCATTGGCACACGTTTGGCGCCAGGGACAGGTACTTAGGGATGGGGGTATAGGGTTACAGGTAAATCTATAGGGGCGGGGGAGGCAGGAGCCCCCTAACTTGGCTGAGGCTTTTCCTGGTTAAAGTGTCCAGTCTGGGCCAGCAACCCTTTCAAGAAGCAGTAAAGAAAAGTTAGAAAGTTGGAGAAAACAATGTTGCAGGTGGCTGAGCTAGTTAGAAATATTATAGGCAGTGAGATAGAGCTAGGTCCTCAATGAAGCCAGTGCAGACACCTGGAAGCTGCCAGGGAAGCTGATGCCTCCTGCTGAGGGCCAGGCCTCAGGACAAAAGACCATTCAGATGCATCCATATTCTGAGAATTGATACCCTAAATAGTTCTGATTTTCCTAGGAAAGAGTCACTGCTCCTTAAGAATGCCTGCTTTCTATGTGACTTGCTTCCTTATTTGTCCCTAATGTAACCAATTTTACCTGAACTATTGATCTTATTGGCTAACTACAGTTATGTCCCATCTTATGCCTGTCTGCCTTTTGAGCTCCCAATTCTTCCTCACCTTGAACCCATGGTCTTATTCTACTTGGGACCACTTTTGTCTCTCTTCAGACCAAAGCTTTCTCTCAATAAATATATTTACTCTTCACCTCCATTGTTGCTAAAATTCATTCTTCAATTTTAGAGAACATGAGTTAGTGGACATAGTAGGTTGGGAGTTTCACTTCCTTATATCAATAAGGGGGTTTGCAGATTCCATTTTTTGTTTGTTTGTTTGTTTGTTTGTTTCTGTTGGATCATCTGTTTTACAGCCCTAGAAAGTGTGATAGCTCAGACCCCAGAATAAAACCCAAGGAAGCAAGAAATTAAAATTTGGGGAGTAAAGGCTTTATTTTAGTCCAGGCCTGGTGTCACAGTCTCCAGGAGCCAGTTTGGAGACTGTGCGCCTTACACCTAGAAAGGTTGGGTTTTAAAGCCAAAAACCACAGGAGTGTTGTAATCACTGACAGTTAGGTAGCATCTGGGCTTTATAGAACTTCCTGTAATTTCCTTGAAGTTAATCATTTCTTAAAGAACAGCACATTTTATTACAGATAGCCAGATGAGGAGTAGGGGAGGGGGTTACAGGAAACTGATACCTAAGGCTTTTACAGCTTTCTCAGGAAATTGAAACTCAACCTAGAAAGATAGGAAGGGAAGGAGGGTGGGCTGAGCGGTGCTTACAGAACAGAAATGAGGCACAAGGGGGTTAAAACTAGGCTATAACAGAAGCAGCACGTGATTCATAGAGGCAATTGGCCTCTCAGTTTATTTCTTCACCACTCCCACAGCTAGCTCTCTCCTGGTCCTTACATGTGTAAACTGCAGCAGGAAGTGAAACCCAAAAGAGTACTAACTGTGTGGGATCCCCTCACAGTTTCCAGGAGTTGAAAGTCTCCACAGTAATCCCTGAAAGTAAGAGCAGAATTGTCATCTAGCAACTACTCTGATATCCTGTGTTCTGAGAATCTGTTTACTGAATAGAGCACCCAAGGGACCAAAGGAAACCTTTATTGGTCTACCCTCAGAAGTAATGGTTTGAGCTCTCTTTCTCCCAAACTGTGTTCTTGAGGGGATAATCATTATCTCAGTGTTTCTTTCTTTCTTCTCCTTTTCCAACCTGAATAAAAAAATGTGACATGTGAAGTTTTCCCAGGAGCATTTCCCATTTCCTAACTGAGGAATGAAAGCAATAAATATTGATGAATGTAGGAAATGTCTGTCATATATGGTATTTTATGTAACATTTCTCCATTAGTTTCCTAGCTCTCTTTTAGTCTTTACTCAGACTTAAGCAAAATCATGTTATTAGCTGCAAAAGTACAGAATCTTATATTCAAGATTTTGAACTATTTTTGCCTATTTTCCATTTTGGTGAACTTCATTGAAGAGATTGTATGGTTTTCACTTGTTCTATGATCTCCTTGAGTCTTTGGATTATGTATTTTAATAATTTAGAAAATTCTTTAAATCATTTGATTGAGATTGTATTAAAACAATATAACAATTGTGTGAGCATGGCTATTT